TCGATATTTGTGTGTGTGTGTGTGTGTGTTTTGTGCTTCATATTTGTTTTGAAAGTAAAAAAAAAAAGTTCACATTTACTATTCACATTTTCCAGGAAAAGCCTATAATATCTTAAAATGTGATAATTGACCCCACATGAGTGACAAAATGGCCTTCTATTGGGGCCAACATGTGTTAAATCAGTGTTTCTCAACCAGGGGTCCGTGGACGTAAGGACAGGGGGTCCGTATAAATTATGAATTTTTGTATACATTTTGTATATTTTAACATGACATGTTCCCATGAAAGAAAAATCCAATATAGCTGATGATATAGGCAATACTGGACAAGTCAACTAACTTGCATTATACTTGACTGTATTTGGTCCTCACAAAGACACAAATGATACATGGATGAGTCAGTTTTGTTCTGGGGGTCCTTGAGGATGGTTCTGAATTGGACTGGGGTCCGGTACACCAAAAGGTTGAGAAACTGAAATTTGATCAGCGATTGATAGGAAATGAATGACGAAATGAGGGAATATAAATATCCCATGTTTTTCAGATGGAGAGCTTTAAGTTTTCCAAGCCTCAAATTATTATAGGATCAAGCTTTGCAAAAACCTGTGGATTTCATATTGCCAGCTTAAGTGCATGATTTCATTAAAGTAAAAAAGCTAGAAAATTAAACTAGAACATTTAAATTAATATTTATTTCTCAGATAAAAATCATTGTTTTTTTTTTCAGATAGGCTAATATAATTTATAATTTAAAAGAAAAATCCAATATAGCTGATGATATGGCCAAATACTGGACAAGTCAGCTAACTTGCATTATACTTGACTGTATTTGGTCCTCACAAAGACACAAATGATACATAGATGAGTCAGTTTTGTTCTGGGGGTCCTTGAGGATGCTTCTGAATTGACTGGGGTCCAATACGCCAAAAGGCTGAGATTCACTGTGTTAAATGACCAGTATTTTTACTCCTAGACAACAATAATATTCAATATGCATACAATGTATGTTTACTTTATCAACACAGTAAAAGTTTAATCCACTCAATAACATCATTCATAAAGCTCCGTCCGTTTGGAACATGGAAAGGAACAATATGTTTTGTTTCGATATCGAGAAATCACAACTCATCACGGCTTCATGAGTGTCAATCACTCAGCACATCTGTCCGTCTTCTTCCGTCTGGCCAATGGGGTGGCGCGGTGGGCGGGCTCAGTCCGGGGGGGCGGAGTCTGTCGATGGCCACGGGAAGCGCAGCTGCATGAACGATCTCGCCGAAGCTGCGTCCGTGTTTTTCAGCCGCGACCTCCCCCCTGCGAGCGCCGCTCACGGAACACCCCCGCGGGGAGGCGAGAGAGAGGACTGCGGGGCCGCGGAGGTGCGGCGAAGGAAAGGACAGGAAAGGACGTCCGAGTCCGGTTTGATGCTGGCGGCCCGTCCGCCCTTTAAACACGGATGCTGCTGCTGCTGCTGCATTCATAAGGGATCGCTGTTTATCCGAGAACCCATCGGACGCGTCAACGTCCCCCGGTTTCACATTCCAAGCCGATCGGTAGACACCAATCAAGCGCGACAGCATCCCTCTCTACCTGCGGCTCTCCAGCGCCTGACAGGCCCAGAGTCATGGGCAACACGCCGGCCGCCAAACGGGGCAACGAGATGGAAAGCGGTGGGTGTCTTTAACGCTTCCCAGTCATTCTGTTTAGTCATCATCTTCATCTTCGATCATCCTCAGATGCTCATCGGAAATATGGTCATGGTCGTGCATGTGCGAGGCTTCAGCGGAGATGGTGCTGATGCTGTCATGGCGATCACAGGCTCAAACAATGTGTTGATGCTTTAATAAGAGCGAGCAGCGCTTCGTTTGAGGGTTGCACCCTGTATATAACATGCCAAAGATGGTTATTAGATTAAAAAAAGGGTATATTTATGTACGTCTGATGGGTCTGGAGATGTGTAGAAGGTCTGAAGAAAACAGCAAGAACCAAAACCTGCATGCTGAGATCTAATAGGAAGAATAATTATGGCAATTTAACAATCTGTCATTGAAAACAACCTTATTATTTGACCACTATGTGTCCTCCTCAGTGTCATGATGGTTAGAGCCCCGCTGGTGTCTTGAGGGTTGGGTTTTCACACCTGGAGTTGTTTAACCCAGGCTTAAGTAATCCATGTTTCACATTGCTAACATACTAACCCTGGTTTAATAATTAGGTTGTCAAGTTTTGAGATTTCATGCTTTACACGTGAAAGTCCCAGGATTATTTTTCATATTCACAGTGTTCCATTCATTTGCAGGAGTTGCAAGCTGTTTTAATAACATTTAGGTTAAAATTACTGCAGTTAATGCTAGTCCATCACAGTTTGACTTTTGAGTCTTTCTCTTCTGGAAAACAAAGCAAAACTATTGACGCCGTCGTGTGCTCTGGAAGGATCAAATCATGGCTCACAGACGTTATGTAAACCACTGGCTACTGGTGCTCATGTTAATAAATAAATATTAGAAAAGTCCTTCGATATATCCCACCCAACCTTCCTGTTTAAGTATGAAATGTGTCAAAACAGGAACAAAAACTGCTCACGGTCTTGAACCATTTCCCTCAACTGCTGGCGCTTGAAAGTTTCTGGGACTGTACAAAACGTTTGCATGTTTAATGTGGCAAGATATCTTTAGATTACGATTGGTTTGTCTGTTGCGAAACAGCTCAATGTAACGTATACCAGCGAAAAATCGGTGTTAACCCCCTTTAAAAATGCATGAAACATTGCTAAACTCAAGAGTTAAAAGTGAGCTTAATGTGGGGTTTCAACTTTATTTGCACGCAAGTTACATTACACTCTAAAAAAATGCTAGCTTGTTTCAACCCAACTTTGGGTCAAATATGGACTAACCCAACTTTTTAGTCCATATTTGACCCAAAGTTGGGTTTAAACAACCCAGCATTTTTTAGAGTGTATATACATCACATTAAAGCAATAAGCCCCAAGAAGCTGTGGTTTACAGTGAATTTATAACAGCTAAGGGGCGTTATTAGGGCTAAAATCCCCTTAGCTGTTATAAATTCACTGTATACCACGGCTTCACGGGACTTATTGCTTTTATAAAATGGTTATTCCATATACGTAGTAAGGTTTCACAGAATAAAACAGAGGAAATAAAGTGTAATGATATTAATAAAAACAGTATTCTTCCACCAAAACAATGTAGTTCCTCAGAAACAGTTGTGGTTGCAACAAATTGGTTGCCAAGCAACAGACAAACGTAAACAAATGTGTATGTTTGTAGAGTAATTTACAACAGCTTCGAACGTGGCTCAGCCAATCAGAATCAAGGACCGGAACTCTCAGTTTTATAATACACAAGTTACATTATCGTCACAAAATGTAACTACATTATCGCCCAGCTCCTAATATAAATTTGGATATACAATTAAGTCCAACTTTATCTGCATATATACAGTACTCTCATGTAAAGTAATATATATATATATATATACTATATAACAAATCTCGTTTGATTGCAACGCAAAATGTGAAGTATATTATCGCCCAGCATTCAAATGTGACTATAAGGCATTATATTAAGATACTATAAACATGAACATCATGATTTTCTGTAAAGCTGCATTGAAACGATGTGAATTGTGCAAAGTGCTATATAAATAAGTTTGTCGTTGAGTGTAGTGAGAAAAACACCAGCGTGACCCTTCCCCGCTGTGGGTTTGTTGTGCAGCTCCCGTGAAAATTGTCTTTCTTTTTGCTTGCTTTCTATTTTTTCTTCACTGAATTTGTGGGAACATTTGCGGAATGGATTTGAAAATGCTGAAATGTGTTGAACGGAGCTGAGATGCTGCACTCTTATTGGAAGCTGAAGGCATCATGAAATGCAACAAAACATTGACGTGTAGAACTTTTTGCACTCCTGTGTGGCATGTTATCATGTTTTCCCCTGTTATGCCTGACATATGAAATCATTTTTGTAATGGAACAGTTTATTGAACCTTAAGACAATATACTGTATATAAAAAAAAGTCTAAAAAAAGGTTTGCATATGCGTTTTTTGTTGAATATCAAATTTGACACATCAGGCTTTTATGGCTCATATAGAATATGGAGTGAAAAAAATATCTAAATTTTACTCGGAGGCCCAAACTGAGCAAAAATATGCAATTTGGTGCAGATGCTGATATTTATAGGACTAAAGGCTGGAATACACTACATGATTTTTGCCCTGATTTCCCGCCGATTTACAGTCTGGAGAAGCTGGCGCTAGCTGCAGAAAGCCAGTCAGTCTGCAGATTAGAGCTGACAGGCTTCACAGAAAATCATGTAGTGTATGATGGTCACAGACTCCGATTTTTAGCTTCAGACTTTGATTTCATCCAGTCGTCGTCGGAGATCAAACATGTTTCATATTTCCAGCCGATTTTAGAACGCATGTTGTTTTCATTTGTCACGCGTCTCCTAGCAACAAGACACTCATGTCTGCGTGAGTTTAAAGTGACTTTAAAGTCTGGAAGTGTGTGATCCTCAGTCATTTAGTGTGTGATGCCCAGTTTTTCCTCTGTGATTATTACAAAGTCGGTAAGTGATGCCCAGTGTTTTAAAATATGTTCCGATTATAAAAGTCGTGTAGTGTATTCCAGCCTTAAGATGAAATTCTGATAGCTTGTAATGTAAATCAGTGAGATCTTTATAACCAGTGTTGGGTAAAGTTACTTTTAAAAGTAATGCATTACAATATTGCGTTACTCCCTAAAAAAGTAACGAATTACGGTACTTAGTTACTTTTTATGGAAAGTAATGCGTTACGTTACTTTTTAAATCCTGGGCAGGGCTTGCTTGTTTGGTTTTAATATAAAAAGTTATATTTTTGGCAAATGTAAAAGCCCTTTCACACCAAAATCCTCAGGCTGAAGGAAATGTAAATTCACGTCTGTACAGTAGAACACGGAAGAAGAAAGTTCAACACTCTTCAGCAATAAAAAAAAGAACAAATGTTAGTTTATCTTGAGTAATTTTTGCTTATTAGTATGGTTGAATTGGATCATCGAAGGTCAGCAGCAAAGACACTGGTTAATAAAATGGGATTAAATACATAAAGGATATTGGTATTATTTAACATATTTAATTATTGCAGGTTTGCGTCATAATCTGAGTTGTTTTTATGAATTTTGAGGAAAACAATCTTTTTTTTTTTTTTTTTTTTTTTTTTTTTGTGAGTGAGATGAATTAATGCATGTTCACATTTAGTCTAGAACTAAAGTAACATCGTACTCCCGATTTCTCTCAACATGGGGACAGGAGAGCTTTCAATCAATACATGGGGGGGAAAGTAACTGGCGTTACTTATTTGAAAAAGTAACTCAGATATCTTCTTGCAAATGAAAAAGTAATGCGTTACTTTACTAGTTACTTGAAAAAAGTAATCTGATTACGTAACTCACGTTACTTGTAATGTTTATAACACTATAAATGATATAAATATCAGTTGTCGCTCTGTATCTCCAATAATGTCTTAGTAAGATGGTATTTAAATGATTAGTTTTATGATTAAAGCATACAATGCAATCATATTTGAGACTCACGTTTTAACATGACTTTTCAAAAAAAAAAAAAAAGATGTCTGGATAATCAAGTAAACCGGAGTTGCTTCAGTATTATACAAATAAGTAAAGATTTAGAAAGGTGGCAGGTAATAGATTGTGTACAACAGGTTTTTAGCAATGCTTTGTTCATGCTGATCATTAGAAATCAAATATGATGTTACTGCTTGTAAAGTTAAGTTCATGTACTTTCTCTCTCTTCCCACAGTCAAAGAGTTTCTGGCCTTCGCCAGAGAAGATTTCCTCAGGAAATGGGAGAATCCTGCACAGGTAAGAGGACTCGAGGAGGGAAGCGCATTGAATTCGAGTAAAGAATGAGTGTTAAATGAGTGTCACCTGGTCATTTAAAGCAGGCTCGTGCCCTCTCAGTTGAAAATTACAGCAGAATTATTGCATGGTCAGTGGTTTTCGCTGTGGCTATTTGGAACAAACCCATAATATCACAGATTCTTGAATTGTGCCAGAAAAAATCCACCATAAATACTCTACTATTTATAAATATATAAATACTCTAGTATATAATCCACCATAAATAAGCTAGTGATGGGATAAATGAAGCTCTTCGAAACTTTGAACCAATGTTTTCGCAAAATGATCCACCGTTTCATGTGCGGTTGTCATGGCAACCAGATACTTGCTACGCTAGGTCTATTTTTGCCACGCTAAACTTAGCAATAAACACATTGAAAATAGTGCACTGTAAATGATTTTCAGCACAATCTCAAAGTAGGCATTATACTTACAAAGTAAGTATTATTAAGTCAATGAAGCAGTGAATTACTCACCCAATGCTTTTAAACAGACATCTGTTTGGCGTGATGCATGTTAAACGCACAGCGCTGGGCACACAAACAATTTATATTTAATAAATATTACCGAAAATAGGCGATTAATCAGTTTATATTCTACAATATTTGTTTAGGTGTTGTTGTGTGTAAATTAAATAAAATGTGAATGTAAATGACATAAATGTAGAACAACGGGTTTATGAGATTGTCCAGGTTTGAAGTCATTGCCATCTTCATCTGACAGTTTTATTAGCTGCAGATTTCGCTGCAGTTGTTGCACTTTGTGAAACAGTTATGAATATCCATTTATGTCACACAACAGGCAAATAGTATATACCATAAGCAGTTATCTGGCAAAACGTCTTACTCTGATGAGATTGGGGAGGCATTAGTAAGTTTGATTTTATTTATTAATACATTTACAAAATAACAATTCAAAAAATAATTATATCCATATTTACTTTTGAGTTTAAAATATCATTTATTAAAAAATACATATTTAATAAAATCGCTCAGTTGCTACACCCGCGGAAGCCTCATTTACTGAAATCCCGTGACTTTAGCAGTTTGATGTGCTCTCCGAATCACTGGTTTCGAAACAAATGAAACGTTTTTTTTTTTTTTTTCAAAAGCAAGGGTTATTATAGTTAACGAAAACTAAAACCATAAAGTATATTTCCATTACTTGAAAGAAATTAGATGTTAACTGCAATAAAAATAAAACATTAAAAAACTTATTTTATTTCAGCTAGTTTCCAATGCAACATTTCTCGTTTAGTTTAACTTGATGTACTAAAATAGTTAATTCTAAAATAGTAAAAAAAATCTGAAATTTACATGCAAGCAGAACCTATAAAATTCTATTCTATACATCTAATTCAAAATGTTATCAAAAACAATAATAGTACACAAATAACACTGTTTGAAAGCACCCATCGCTACTAGAAACAGGACAGCAAGCATGACAGATGTGACTGTAGTTATGTGTTTAAACAGCGGGTGTGTCCCACAGAACACAGCGAGTCTGGAGGACTTTGACCGGCTGAAGACTCTGGGCACGGGCTCATTCGGTCGCGTGATGCTGGTCAGACACCGAGAGAGCGGGCAGCACTACGCCATGAAGATCCTTAACAAACAGAAGGTGGGCGGGGCTAATGCCTGAGCCGTGACCTCACAGGCAGGCACGGCGAGGATGTCATGATGTCCTTTCATCGTCTCTCTGTAGGTCGTGAAGCTGAAGCAGATTGAGCACACGCTCAATGAGAAGCGGATACTGCAGGCCGTCAGCTTCCCCTTCTTAGTGCGGCTGGAGTACTCCTTCAAGGTGAATACTGCGTGAAATATCAATAGCTGGAGGACGATGTGCCGCATGTAAAGGCCGTGTTTGGTAACGTGTGTTTGTTTTAGGACAACACTAATCTCTATATGGTGATGCAGTACGTTCAGGGAGGAGAGATGTTTTCACACCTGCGTAGAATCGGCAGATTCAGGTGAATATATTTACATTCCAGATGTGCTTTATTAGTGCCTGAGGGAAACCGCAGTGTGCACAGTAACATACAACATGCAGAGCATACATACTATATATATACATACATACAGAGCTGGGTAGATTACTTACAAATTGTAGTCCATTACTGATTCCAAATTGCATGACAAAAATTGTAGTTAGTAACATAATCCATAATCTTGTATCATATTGGTATAAAAATGCAAAGAGTAAGAACATGTATTCCATTCGTTGTTATTAATAACGTGAAGTGCATCAAACATTACATCAATGTTTCCCAAACTGGGATTCGTAAAAGAACTGCAGGGGGTTCATGAGTTTAATAAAAAAAAAAGCTTACAAATAAAAATGTTAAATTGAAAGAAATTATTTTAAAATAGCATCAATCAAAATAAAGCACTTTCTAAAAAATGAAATAGGCTCTCTCTCTCTGTTATATATATATATATATATATATATATATATATGTATGCAGAGGACGATGTGCCGCATGTAAAGGCCGTGTTTGGTAACGTGTGTTTGTTTTAGGACAACACTAATCTCTATATGGTGATGCAGTACGTTCAGGGAGGAGAGATGTTTTCACACCTGCGTAGAATCGGCAGATTCAGGTGAATATATTTACATTCCAGATGTGCTTTATTAGTGCCTGAGGGAAACCGCAGTGTGCACAGTAACATACAACATGCAGAGCATACATACTATATATATACATACATACAGAGCTGGGTAGATTACTTACAAATTGTAGTCCATTACTGATTCCAAATTGCATGACAAAAATTGTAGTTAGTAACATAATCCATAATCTTGTATCATATTGGTATAAAAATGCAAAGAGTAAGAACATGTATTCCATTCGTTGTTATTAATAACGTGAAGTGCATCAAACATTACATCAATGTTTCCCAAACTGGGATTCGTAAAAGAACTGCAGGGGGTTCATGAGTTTAATAAAAAAAAAAGCTTACAAATAAAAATGTTAAATTGAAAGAAATTATTTTAAAATAGCATCAATCAAAATAAAGCACTTTCTAAAAAATGAAATAGGCTCTCTCTTATATATATATATATATATATATATATATATATGTATGCATACCTTAAATTTATTTTAGGCTTCATTTATTAAATTATTTGCTTCATTTGCTTTACATTACTAAGTAATTAATTACTGTCATTTAATTTCCCCTTAAAAAATGAAAGTAAGGGATTACTCTTAATTTTTCTGTAATTTATGTTAAATAAGTAAAAAATATGGGCTTTTTTGATGTGTAGACTGTGACCCAGTACTGATGAAAGAATAGAAACATAGGAAATATAGGAATGATGTTGTGATGAAAATATATTATTTAAATGAAAACTATAATCTAGATTCTGTCTCCGCTAACTTGCTTTGTGTATATATACCAAATGCAAACTTTGCATGCAACAATCAGGCAGCAATTGACAGCACTCTGATCTAGTGGCATACAGGCATCGTCAGATTGACAGTACTCTAGCCCAATAATGTTGGGGGATCCAGTGGGGGCGGCAGTCATATTTCAGGGTGACCATGCCATCAAATATCAAAATTTTTCAGGCAGAAGCCTTTAAATCAATTTTAATATCCATAAAGATAAAGTCAGTAAAATGTGTGTGAACTTCTGGCTTGTAATTACAAAAGACTAAATTATTAGTATGAAAACGGTATATATACTTAATTTGTTTGTGCCACAGATTGAATCGTATTGCATGTGTGTAAATGTCAAAAAAAAAAAAAAAAACAGTATATGTAATTTAGCTTATATGTATTTTTTTTATTCCACATAAGAAGTGGACATAGAAATGAGACGGAATAATAACAGGTCATCCCATCAGTCTGCATATTTGTGCTTGTATTCTTTGGCTCATTTTGGTCTGGCTAAATACACAGGATACAAAACAAGCGCTGGGTTTAGAGAAGCAGCAGTGAAATCCAAAGCTATCTGTGTGCTAATGCACATAATGTGAGACTGTGGTTTCATCTCGCTTGTGTAAAGACGCTCGATGCTTGATATTCATTTGTTGCTGTACTAAAATGAACCACTTAGCAGCATCGACATGTACAGTTGCATTTAAAAATGCATGCATGTTGTTTCATTAGATAACAACAAAATATCAAAGCTGCTGGAGTTTTTCGACTTCAGTTTTCTTTAAAACTCACAAGCTTCTTTTTAGTAAATGCTGAAAAGCGTGTTTGTGCTGTTTCTATGCACATTCGCATGCATCTCTTTTATTATTTCAGCCCTACTGGAATAGCTAAAGTGCTGTTGTTTTCAACAACTTTCTTGGAACTGTATCTTTTCTCTTTCTTTCTCTCTTGCCGTCTTTCTCTCATGTAGTGAACCCCATGCGCGGTTTTATGCTTCACAAATAGTCTTGACGTTTGAGTATCTGCATGCCCTCGACCTGATCTACAGAGACCTTAAACCAGAGAACCTCCTCATCGATCAGCAGGGCTATATACAGGTAATCAACACATGCACCGACTGCAGAAGACTTACATTCACATTAAAGATACACAAATACATAGTGCTTAGTGAATGAACAGTCTGGAATAGAAATAACACTCATTATTAAATGCACTTTGGACTTCCGGTCTTAAATTTCTGATTTAGCATTAATAGCCAATTAATTAGCATGATTAATAATAACATAATTAGTAACATCTGAACTTGTATCTTCAATATGTGTTTTAAAGAAATGTTTTTCTGTAATACTTAACAATCTGTACAATACTTTATGATCCATGTCAAGGGTAAATTACGCACAAATGTTGACAAATGTTGTGTTAGATGAACAGAATCCTATCAAACCTAATTTAATATGATATCATATTTAGTTATTGTGTTAAAAAATAATATAAAGGCCTTTGGACTTTCAATCTTGAATTTCTGTATTAGCATTAATCAGCATGATTAATAACATAATTAGCAACATTTGAACTTCTGTTGTGACCTACTTTACATTAATAACATCAGTATGTATTTTAAACAGATAGTTTTGCATCTTTCTCTGTAATACTTATAATGCAATTTGGAAAATATTTTACAATCATGTTGAGGCTAAATCAAGCACAAATGATGACAAATGTTGTGTTAGATGAACAGAAACATATCGTAACTTCATAATATAATTTAAAATGTTATAATTAGTGCTGTCAGATGATTAATCGCATCCAAAATAAAAGTTTTTGTTTACACAATGCCATACATCAATGGAAAGCTTATTTATTCAGCTTTCATGTGATGTATAAATCTCAATTTCTAAAAATTGACACTTAAGACTGGTTTTGTGCTCCAGGGTCACATATACATAATAAATATACACAATACACACACACACATATGTATTAAGTAAACAAAAACTTTTATTTTGGATGCAATTAATCGCGATTAATCGTTTGACAAGCACTAGTCATATTATTTAGCTATTATGTGAAAATATAATAAAGAACTTTAGAATTCCAGTCTTAAATGAGCATTAATTAGCATCCAGTCTTAAATTAGCATTGATAGCTAATTAAGTAACATGACAATTAGTAACATTTGAACTTCTATTTTTACTTTTTTAAAGCAAATATCAGCATTTGTGATGTGCTTTACATTACTAAACAAATATTTTACTTAATATAGTGCAATTTGGAGAATATCGATCAATCGTGTCAAGGGTAAATCAAGCACAAATGATGACAAATGTTGTGTTAAATGAACAGAAACATGTCAAATTCAGTGTGACTTTGCTGTAACTCGTAAAATCAAATCTGCGCCACCTTCAAGGGGTAAAACAAAACACTGATTTGGGCCCCATTCATTTGCAGTGTAAATGTTGCTAAAAGTGTGTCTGTGATGTAAGCAGCTCCGTGGATGTGCTTTCTCATAATCTCACCATTACTGCCCCTCATGGCTAATATGATAATGGCATCATGAAATGTTTCTGGCTGGAAGCATGCATGCACTGTGCGTATGTCACAGCGTCCTCCTTTGTTTCAGGTGACAGACTTTGGTTTCGCGAAGCGGGTCAAGGGTCGCACGTGGACATTGTGCGGCACCCCGGAGTATCTGGCCCCAGAGATCATCCTCAGCAAGGTGAGCCATGATGCTGTTTCTCTGAGGAGACTACAATGAATGCAGCTGAACGACAGCAGACCCAGTGTAATTAATGAAGCGTCTGCACCGCAAGAGCCTGGTGATGCAGCTCGCTCTCAGCTGCTTTTTTGCGCTGTACAGCTACTCTGAGCACTTTATTTGACTGAAACAACACGATTTAATATTCAAATATTATATATAGACTAATGGGTGGAAGTTCGGAATATTAAGATTATTTTAATGTTTTTGAAAGAAGTCTCTTCTGCTCACCAAGGCTGCATTTATTTGTTAACAAATACTGTAAAAACAGTAATATTGTGAAATATTATTACAATTTAAAATA